GGACTGTCTGAGTGCACTAATAAGTGCACAAGCGTGCTCATCCGAGTTATCGGATCTCTCTAAAGTGATTATGTCATGGAAGGTTGGTGATCCGCATTTGTATTGTTCGCGTGTCTCCAACGAAAAAGAAGGAGAGCTGGAAAATGAGTGGAAAATTGCTGGTTCAAGCAAGAGACTCCGATATGATATGAGAGAAGACCCGTTGAACCTCGCGCACATCGCGGACCGTCTGATAGAAGATGAAGTTCGGTATATTCATCGGCTTGCCAGCAACATAAATCCCTCAGCTCACCAATCGAGTGAGGGTATTTCAAAGGCAAGGAAGTCGGTCTGCAACAAATTCCATATCGCTATGTTCTTAGGTGATTACCGACTCAGTTTTTGCATCCTGCCGTCCTTAACATACGTTATTGCTGGTGAAGTGGCACGCACGTCTATGGTGCCAACGATGGGGTCCAAAGTCGAAGTAGATTTCGACTTAAAAAGGAATTTGCACACTTTCCTGTCCAACAGCGGCAATGGATGGCACCCTCTATCGGTGTTAGAGATACCACCTATCAACGGTCGAGTTGTTGCGAACATGTCGCCGGTCCGTATGGATATGGAGGTTGATGTTACGATTGAACTCATCCAACTAGAGGCCAGCGCTGTACGAAGCCTTCTGGGAGCCCTAACAAAACCGGAGTTCTCTCACTTAATGTCTGATCTTAAACAAAATGTAGAAACTCTACAACTGCACCTTAACGATGCTCTTGCTCTGGATAAAGGACCCCCACGGCAAAAGGAACCCTCCGATGGTCACAACATACTGTATAAGGCGCGCATGACAATGGCAGGCACGAAGATCCACGCCAGTGCTCCTGCTATTAATGGGAAAAGGTATTCAGCAGACATGGACATCAGCCTTGGAATGATACGCATGCGTCTCAACAATGGTCTGGAACAAGGGCAGCCCATGGAATACCCAGAATTTCACGTCGACACGTCTAATATCAGCTTCGATCTACGAAAACAAGAGGCTACAATCACTCGCTCATATTGTAATTTCGCCATCGACGCTAAGCTCCAGGGCACCTCGATGTTACGCGAGAACGGTGAGGCCAGACGTGTATTCCATTTCAGCAGTAAACAATTCGACGTCGAACTATTCCCTGAGACTGCTGCGCTAGTAGTTGATATGGCAACCCACCTTCAAGAGCGCATCAAAACTTTGGATCTTTCTCATGAGGTCAGGCGTTTCAAAAAATTACGAAGACGAGGCAATGCAGTGCCGAGAGTTCCGAGAATACAGGTCAATGACGACTCCCGTTCGGTGGACTTGTTCAGCGCTATGTTTTCGTTAGACCTGAACTTCATTCAGGTTGGCTGGAACATGTCTACCGTTCCCCTGCCTATATCTGGACGTAAGCCTGATGATTTGGTTTTCTCTATCAGGCGCCTGGAGCTATCCAACAAGAGAACCAATACTGCAAAGCTACGTATCGAAGACATGCAGCTGCAGATGGTACCATATTCAGGTAATAGGCGAAAGCGTTCTCTTAATTCGGCTTTATTACCCGAGCTGGTCTTCAATGTGGCATATTCTTCAGCAGGCCAAGAAGTTCGACTGGCCTTTCAAGCAGCTGGAAAATCTCTTGATATACGAGCCACGTCTGATTTTATAATGCCCGGAAGCATGATAAGAGACTCCATTGCGGCTTCCAGCCGAATCATCCGTGAGGCTAATTCTACGTTGGTGTCGAAGTCATCTGATGACAACTCCAAACCCCGTGCACTTTTCGGGAACAAACGGTTCCGCTCCGTGCTAGTAGATGTGGATTTCGCTGGTGCAATTGTGTCTCTGCAAGGGAGACATACTGGTGACCACCAGGCTCTGCTGACAGCTACTCTAAAAGGAAGCAGACTGTCCGAGGCAAAGTACGGTCAATACATTCAAGGGGATGCGGTAGCCACTGCAACATTCAGGGCCCCTGGGGTGGCCTTGAAAGTGCAATTCGAGGACAATGGCCAAGATGATCCACGGCTTAACGCAGAGTTGAAGATCGATGCTTCTACAAACGTCCTATATCCAAGCCTTGTCCCATTACTAAAGCAAATGACTGATACCGTCAAAGAAGTCATGGGGGGCCAAGAAAAGCAGAGAAGACCGTCTGGCGCAATGATGCTACAGCCGCAGAAATTAATGCAGGAGGCCCCTCTCGACATGGATGCTAAAGACTCCATCCTAGGGAGGTGTAAATTGAACGTTGGCCTCCTAATCTGCAAGCAGGAGTTCAGCTTGAGCTGTCAACCTATCGCTAGAGTTGCAGCTACCGCGAGTTTTGATACCGCCTATGTGACGATCAATACGGTACAATCTGATGACTATGGGCGATTCTTAGCACTTCTCGTGGCCTTCAATTCCCTAGAAGCTTCGGTGAAGCATGTGTACTCCAATGAATCGACCGCGAGTTTTGAAGTGAACTCGATGGTCATGTCTCTTATGAATAGCAAGCACCTCGGCAATTCAAAAGGTATATCGGCTGTTCTTAGGATAAGTCCGATGCAGGTGGCTCTCAATGCCAAACAAGTTCAGGATTTTCTTCTCTTCCGTGAAATATGGTTGCCGGCAGCTGACAATATCGAAACGAAGCCAGCCTTCCCGCCACAGTCTGCCGAGACACAAGCATATATCGTCCAGCGATACCAACAGGTGGCATCGGCATCGGTATTCCCTTGGAATACAACAATAGCAATTGAGAAACTGGAAATCCAGCTTGATCTAGGTTCCTCCCTTGGGAAAGCCCAGTTTTCCATCAACGATCTATGGTTGTCGTCAAAGAAGACGTCTGACCGAGAACAGACCCTCTGTGTTGGCTTCAAGGCCACAGGAATTGAAAGCAAAGGTCGTATGAGCGGACTGATCGAGCTCCAGACGTTCAAAGTGCAGACATCAATTCAATGGCCGGATGACAATTTTCATAATAAGACACCACTCATTCAGGCTTCGATATCCTTCAACCTGTTCCAAGCAAAGGTCTCTTTTGATTATCAGCCTTTCATTATCGCACATATCACAATGTTCGACTTCTTGATGTACAATGTCTCCAGTGCGTCGGGTAACGGACACCAGCGGCTCTTCAGCATTTTGGAGGGCGATCAAGTGCAAGTTTTCTGTACAAGTTTGACCGCATCACAGACTGTTGCATTGTATCAAGCCTGGCAACGGCTAGTACAAGACAAACAGGCGTCATACGAAGCTGCATTGCGTGAGGTCGAAAGGTACATGCGTCGAAGGTCATCAGTTTTCGCTGGTAAAGCTGATTTGCCAGCGAAGGATGTGACCAAAGATGCAGACGACAAGGAGGAAAAGGCACCAATCTCTTTGCAGACAGGTGTTGCAGTCACTATCAAATCTGTCAATATAGGTGTTTTCCCAAGCTCCTTCTTCGATAACCATGTGCTTAGGCTAGATGCACACGATGCGCAGGCTCGCTTTGATGTATCGCTACAGGAAGGTAAAATACACAGTGCGCTGGGACTCACACTTGGCCAGTTACGTATCGCACTGTCCGGTATTATGCGGCCTGGTCCTACGGAGGTTGAGGAGCTTCTTGTCGGTGAGATCGCCAACCGTGTGCTGGCATCCAGCGGCGGCACAATACTAAAGGTTCCTCGGCTCGTGGCGCAAATGGAAACCTGGCAAAAAGCCGGCACCCAGCAAATCGACTATATCTTCCGCAGCACGTTCGAAGGGAAAGTCGATGTGGGATGGAACTACTCGCGCATTAGTTTTATCCGAGATATGTGGGAGTCCCATTCCCGGGCATTGACCTCCAGGCTCGGAAAGCCCCTGCCGCCATCCGCGGTGCGCATTACGGGTGGGTTGAATGAAGGTGGCGGTGGCAAGAAGGATCAACAGCAGGAAAAGATCACAGCGGTTGTAAATGTCCCACAGTCGAAGTACACGTATGTTGCGCTGGAGCCGCCGGTAATCGAGACGCCGCAGCTCCGCGATATGGGTGAGGCCACCCCACCGCTGGAGTGGATTGGGCTTCAGCGCGATAAGCTGCCCAATGTCACTCATCAAATCATTATTGTGACATTATTAGAGATTGCAAAAGAAGTGGAGGATGCATACGGGAAGATCCTAGGATCGTCGTGACCTCCTCGTGTCCTTTATACTATCAAGTAACGAACGGCCTGCGTCATGCATGCTCCATGTATTGATTGATTAGATTTGGTTGCTACTTGATATCCATACCTAGGTTTTGCTTGTACAGGTACATAATCATACATAGATATACATAAATGCACATGCACATGCACATACACACGCATGCATAGTACATAGTGGGAAAGTAATGTTAATTTCAAATTGGTAAACAAGATGTGATCTCACAGCGCCGTTAGTCCCACTGTCTGTCTATAGGACACAGAACCCCGCCACGACAGGTGGAGCGATGTTGCCCTTGTGTTGTTCCTTCACCTCTGGTGTAATGATAGAAGTTGAATGGGATACGGGTTTGGTATGGTTTCATATTCCGGTCAACTCCGTATTACCATCTATTAGTGGAGGTATTATTCCGGAGAGTCTGGTATGAACACTCAGCTTAGGTCCTTCTGCAATTGGTGACGGTTAAATCCATCCTAACTCCGCCCTCTAAAAAGAGTGGGCGGTGAGGGCAGAGGGGTAGGTTCGGGTTGTTGGCCAATCACCTGCCCTGCAAGTCATGGCTCAACCATAGATTCTGAAATCGAGTTCTTTTTTTTTTTTTTTTTCGTCCCGCGTAATTACCTGGGGCACGACTCGGTACGCCATACGTAATTGGAGGACAGGCATGAATCATAATACGATGATATCAGGACTGACTTTCAACGCCACAGAGCTTTGTCCGAGCTTCCTATTCACCTCTCTTAGTTGGGAAGTAACAAAATAATCATTGAATACGGCCGACAAAGACAGTATAGTTTTAGTAGTGACTCAAGAGAATGAGCCATTCAGTTCTTAAACCATGGATGAACATTTGCACGGAAATAAGCCCTCTGGACAAGAATGTAAAGCTTTTAGATGGTTGCTGAGAAATACATCGTACCCATGAGCAACTAACTGGAGACTATCGCATGGTAGCTTTTGACCTTTCACTTAATGACGGGGGAGTGACTGTAACGAGCTGTTAGAGGAGGTAAATTTTGGTAAGGAAATGAGGGGTGGAAGTCAGAAAAGCCACTAAACGGCAGAAAAGATTACCAAGAAAAAACGCACATCCCAGATTTTTTTAGCAGAGAAAAAAAATTCCCACTGCGAAAGTCCCCACTCTCGCTTTCTTCTCCCTCTTTCCCCCTCTTCCACCATCCTCTTCCTTTCCCTCTCTTCACCTTCCTCTGTGAAGCCCACTGTCTCCCTTTTTTTTTAGGAGCAACACACATAGGCCCTTCTGTCCTATAATACTCAGGTCGAGTTAGCCCTCGATCCTGATCCTCTGTGTGTCGTTTCTTTGGTTTTTTTTGCACTTTACTATACAACCCCGCCTCTTAAGGCTTTTCACGATAAAAAACCGCCAACATGGTTAAGTACGTATCTCACTTTCCACGAGCCACTTTCCTATGACGGATGTCGCCTAAAATGATTTGAATGACTTGCTAACTATGAGGTCAATAGCTTCACAATCGAAGAGGTTGGTTTTGCTGCCCCCACAAAGCGATATCGAGTCGCCTTGGATCCAAGAGGTCGAGGGAGAAGAATAGCAAAGCTAACAATGCATAGATTCGGTCCCTGATGGACAAACCGAAGAACATTCGTAACATGTCCGTCATTGCTCACGGTAGGTCCATATTTGATATACATCTGCGCAACGGGTCTGTACTAATGTGTAACCTCTTTGGCATGTAGTCGATCACGGAAAGTCCACTCTGTCTGACTCCCTGGTTCAGCGTGCTGGTGTTATCGCCGCTGCCAAGGCTGGTGAGGCCCGTTTCATGGATACCCGTGCCGATGAGCAGGAGCGTGGTATCACTATCAAGTCCACTGCTATCACCCTTTACTCCAAGTTTGATGACCCTGAGGATCTCAAGGAGATCAGCCAAGGTCACGATGGCAACGAGTTCTTGATCAACTTGATCGACTCTCCCGGTCACGTTGACTTCTCCGCTGAGGTTACTGCCGCTCTCCGTGTCACCGACGGTGCCCTGGTCGTCGTCGACTCTATCGACGGTTCCTGTGTCCAGACCGAGACTGTCCTTCGCCAGGCCATTGCTGAGCGTATCAAGCCCGTTCTGATCATCAACAAGGTTGACCGTTCTATACTTGAGCTGCAGGTCAGCAAGGAGGATCTGTACCAGAACTTCTGCCGTATCATTGAGTCCGTCAACGTCACCATCGCTACCTACGAAGACAAGGTTCTTGGTGATGTCATGGTTCACGCCCAGAAGGGTACCGTTGCTTTCGGATCCGGTCTCCAGGGCTGGGGTTTCACTGTCCGCCAGTTCGCCGTGAGGTACGCTAAGAAGTTTGGTGTTGACCGTAAGAAGATGCTTGAGCGTCTGTGGGGTGACAACTACTTCAACCCCAAGACCAAGAAGTGGACTAATAAGAGCACTGATGCCGATGGCAAACCTCTGGATCGTGCTTTCGTCCAATTCTGCTTGGACCCCATCTACAAGATCTTCGACGCGGTCAACAACAACAAGAGAGATCAGATCACTACTCTCGTCGAGAAGCTTGAGGTCAAGCTTACTAGCGATGAGAAGGAGCTTGAGGGCAAGCAGCTCCTCAGAACTATCATGCGCAAGTTTTTGCCTGCCGCCGATGCTATGTTGGAAATGATCTGTATCCACCTGCCTTCTCCCGTTACTGCCCAGAAGTACCGTGCTGAGACTCTGTACGAGGGTCCTCATGATGACGAGTGCTTCAACGCCATCAAGGAGTGCAAGGCTGGTACCAAGGAGGACCCCGCTCCTCTGATGCTCTACGTCTCGAAGATGGTGCCCACTTCCGATAAGGGTCGTTTCTATGCTTTCGGCCGTGTCTACTCGGGTATCGTCAGGTCTGGTCTCCAGGTCCGTATCCAGGGTCCTAACTACACCCCTGGCAAGAAGGAGGACCTGTTCATCAAGAAGATCCAGCGTACTGTTCTGATGATGGGTGGTAAGACTGAAGCTATTGACGACGTTCCCTGCGGTAACATCGTTGGCCTGGTTGGTGTTGACCAGTTCTTGCTAAAGTCTGGTACCCTCACGACCTCCGAGACCGCTCACAACCTCAAGGTCATGAAGTTCTCCATCTCTCCCGTCGTGCAGCGTTCCGTTGAGGTCAAGAACGCCGCTGATCTTCCTAAGCTTGTCGAGGGTCTCAAGCGTCTGTCCAAGTCCGATCCTTGTGTCCTGACTATGATTAACGAGTCTGGAGAGCACGTCGTTGCTGGTGCTGGTGAATTGCATCTTGAGATTTGCTTGAACGATCTCCAGAATGATCACGCCGGTGTTCCCCTCAAGATTTCCGACCCTGTCGTCTCTTACCGTGAGTCCGTCGCGGGCAAGTCCAGCATGACTGCTCTCTCCAAGTCTCCCAACAAGCACAACCGTCTCTATATCAATGCCGAGCCAATTGAGGAAGACTGTGCTCTTGCCATTGAGGCCGGCAAGATCAACCCCCGTGATGATTTCAAGACTCGTGCCCGTCTCATGGCTGATGAATATGGCTGGGATGTCACCGATGCCCGTAAGATCTGGACCTTCGGTCCCGACACCACCGGTGCCAACTTGCTGGTTGACCAGACCAAGGCTGTCCAGTACCTTAACGAAATCAAGGATTCCTTCGTCTCCGGTTTCCAGTGGGCTACTCGTGAGGGTCCTATTGCTGAAGAGCCCATGCGCGCTATCCGCTTCAACATCCTCGATGTTACCCTTCACGCTGATGCTATCCACCGTGGTGGTGGTCAGATCATCCCCACTGCTCGTCGTGTCCTCTACGCCGCTCAGTTGCTTGCGGACCCCAGCATTATGGAGCCCATCTTCAACGTTGAAATCCAGGTTCCCGAGCAGGCTATGGGTAGTATCTACGGTGTCCTTACCCGTCGTCGTGGTGTCATTTACTCCGAGGAGCAGAGACCCGGTACCCCTCTGTTCACCGTCAAAGCCTACCTTCCCGTCAATGAGTCCTTCGGTTTCCCCACCGATCTCCGTGCGGCCACCGGTGGTCAGGCCTTCCCTCAGTCCGTCTTCGACCACTGGGAGGTTCTTCCTGGTGGTTCTCCTCTTGACACCACCACTAAGCCTGGTCAGATTGTTAATGAGATGCGTAAGCGCAAGGGTCTCAAGGAGCAGGTTCCTGGATACGAGAACGTAAGTCCTTCATTCTACCCACATTTCGAAGCCAGGATGCTAACATTTCTGCACAGTACTACGACAAGCTGTAAACCCGTTGATTGCAATCCTATGTTTATGAGTTCGACGAACACAATACAATGTCTATGCTAGGGCCCACATCCAAAAATTTAAAATAAAGCGCCACAGCTGAATGTCGTATGTGGATTTTCGACCACTAGAAGTAGAATCCAGGAGTGCATCTGCTATGGCTTTTCATTATCTATTGTTATGTTAACGAATGCGAGGGTTTTTACATAGTTCACTTCAGATTTCACTGGTTGGACTTCTAAAATTTCAATTGTAGTTCCAAAATCCAAATCTCTCCACCACAGCCCTTGTAGGATCATTGTAGCGTCCTGTGGCTAGCCGTCCCTACATGTAGCAAAACCAATATCCACTACTACCAGTAGTAGCAAAAGGCACACCTCTTCTGCATCATGGTGTCATGCAGAAATGTCAGTATATATCACGTGATCTTTCCATCATCCGCGTCGCCTCGCGTTTCCCCGGCTTCTTCTGTCCGCAAACCTCTTACTATGTCCCCTCACTCTGACCTCTACATCATGGCCTGAGAATCCTTGGTCTGTTTGATTTATAAAACGCCATAGCTCGCTGTTCTTCACTTGTCCCATTTGAATTGTTATCATTACCGGGCGTCGTAACTCAGCTTCAGTCGAACTCGCTCGGGCCTTCAATTATCCTTAGCTACTACGCAGGACTGCAAAAGGCGACGACAGTCAGGATAGATTGTGGGGTTAATAAGCTGTGCGGCAGCATGAAGTTCTCAGAAAGCGAAGCCGCGGAGGTGAAGACTTGGGTGGTGCGGAAACTGGAAGACATGTAAGATTCTTTTATCATCGTGCGAAGCTCAATCCACCGTTGTTCCTTCTCGGTGCCCTTCTTTAATGCTTCATGAAACTAACATACACGAATGTTGGTGACTATGGTAGATCCGATGCCGATGCCGATGTACTTGCAGACTATGTGCTCGCGCTTATCAGAGCGGACGCCCCAGATGAAGAAATCCGGAAAGCGTCTGTGGAGGGATTGGAAGATTTCCTAAGAGAGCGTTCGTGAAAATGCGATCAACTTTGTTTGGATAGTTTTCTAACTGAGTCGCTGAAATATAGATACGGTCCCATTTGTCGATGAGCTTTTCGCTACCTTTGCGCCGAAACAAACCGCTCCTCCCGCAAGCTCGCATCCGCTGAGCCAGCCGCAGATTTCCAATGACATCAATGCGCCGGGATCAGGCTCTCAGCAACAAGCCCCCTTTAACCCCCCATCCGGTCCTTTGAGGGGTCCTTACGGGCCTCCTATGGGCAACACGCCTCAGTCACAGACGGACTCGTCGAGCTATGGACGCAAGCGTAGCTACCATGAAGGGTTCCAGGCAGATCAAGAGCGTGAAGAGGCTCCGCATAATAGGAACTTCAAGGCCCCGCGACGCGGCCGGGGTGGCGGAAGAGGCGATTGGATGGGGCGCGACAGCCGTGCAGCTCACGGCCAATACGCCGCCCCTCCCGCGGGTGGATTTCCTGTGATGCCTCCAACCTTCCCTTCATTTGATCAGAATGACCCAATGGCGGCCATGATGGCCCTCCAGAGTATGGGGTTTCCACAGATGCCCGGCATGCCTCCTATGCCCATGCCAGCTCCTGGTGGCGGCGCTGGTCAGCCACAGGATCCAATGGCGCCAAAGAGCTCAGAACGGTGTCCCTTCTGGGATACACAGGGCATATGCTATCTGGGCGCTGCCTGTCCGTATCAGCATGACACACCCGGTCTTCCGAAGGAGGATGGTAGGACAAACACCCTTACTGACTTGCCGTTGGTGTTGCTAACGATGCATTGCAGAATATGACCCGAAATCATCTAATATCGTGACGGACTTCCAGAGACGTAACACTGACACTCCACATCGTGGCAGCGACAGAGGCCGCGGCCGTGGTCGTGGTGGGGATAGGGGCGGATTTGGAGGACGAGGGCGTCGATCCGAGTACTCTGCGGCGGGTCCTAACGAGGATACTTCTATCACCACCATTGTTGTTGAGCAAATCCCGGATGACAAACTTAATGAAGCATCGGTGAGGGAGTTCTTCTCCCAGTATGGCGACATCGTCGAGCTCTCTCTACAGCCTCACAAGAAGCTTGCATTGATCACATATGATAGCCACGCATCCGCCAAGCGCGCATGGTCTAGCCCCAAGGTGATTTTCGATAACCGGTTCGTCAAAGTTTACTGGCATAAGGCGAAGGCAGATAAGAATGGTGATCATCGGCAAGGGGCCAGTGAGGTCGAGCCGTTCAACCAGGAGGAGTTTGAGAGGCAGCAAGAGGCAGCGCAGAAAGCCTACGAAGAGAAGATGCAGAAGCGCAAGGAGACAGAGGAAGCCAAACAGGCACTGGAGAAGCAGCGCGAGGAACTCTTGAAGAAACAGCAGGAAGAGAAGGAAAGACTGATGCAAAAGCTTGGCGGGAACGATGTCAGCAACGGTGCTACACCCTCAGATGGAGAGAGCGGTCCCTCACCCCAGGAGAATGTCAGCGATCAAACGAAGCAGCTGCGCGCACAATTGGCAGCTCTTGAAGCCGAAGCCAAGACCCTTGGAATCGATCCCAATGGTGCTGATTCTGGTGCGCCCTCGTATCGCGGTCGGGGCCGTGGATCCCTGGGACGAGGCGGTTATGCGCCCCGAGGCCGTGGATACGATCCTAATTATCGTGGAGGATATCGCGGTCGTGGAGGAATGGCCCGTGGCCGGGGAGGTGTGCTTCGTCTGGACAATCGACCCAGGAGAGTTGCCGTTTCGGGCGTTGAGTTAAACTCTGAGAAGGACGAAGCATTGAGGCAGTTCCTCATCGTGAGTAATTTCCTTTTCTTATCTTTGCTCATCTATATCGAGCTATGGCTAATGTCATTGAACCCTAGGGCGTTGGCGAATATGAGTCTATTCAACCTAATCCGGAGCAATCGGACTCTGTGATAGTCGCGTTCAAAGAGCGGTACATTGCAGAGAAATTCATGTTTGGACCATGGCAGATACCGTCTGTCGGCGAAGTGCAGCTCACTTGGGTTCCCAACCCTCCAATCAGTTTGGCGCCTGCGACACCAGGCTCTGGAATGGATACCAAAACCGGATCCGATGAGGATACTGTGATGGAGACCTCAGGCACACCCCTCCCACCTGATCCATCGGCCGGGCGGAGAGACGGAAATCACGAAGTTGACTACGACGTGGCAGAGGATGACGATAGCTGGGGGGTACAGTAGACATGACACTTTCTTTCCCTGTATGCTTAGATGGATATAACGATGACTCAGTGCCCTACATGGTAAAGAACAAAAAAAGCCTATGTCTTCGGGTTCTTGAATAAAATCAAGACCCTTGTGTTTCCTATACAGTTTGTGTCTATCTGAAGAGTGAACGTGGGATGTTCAGTCCACATTATCCTTAATCACCTGAGGTGGAGTGAGCCTTTCTTAGTCCGCCCTCGGTAACTATTCACTAGACTTGTATATTTATATTGGATCTACACAAACCCAAACCCGACCACATCCCCCCCCCCCCCCCCCCTAAAACAAACACCCAAGAAATCCAAAAAATCCAAAACCATGAGCCCCCAGCCCACCCCCTTTGAAGAAGGCGCCTTCCTGGCAGGCGGCCACAACACCGACCCTCCTCTCCCACCAAATGACCCAACAATTGGGACAAAACTAAACCACTCGATGCTCCGCATCCGAGACCCGCAACGCTCTCTCCACTTCTACATCACCCTCATGGGCATGCGCACCGTCTTTACCATGAACACCGGCCCCTTCACAATGTACTACCTCGGCTTCCCGTCCAGCGCCGAAGACCGCGCCGACCTGTCCGCGTGGGCGGCGAAGGTTTCCGACCCGGCCAACCTCACTCAGACGCTGGGGTTACTGGAGCTGTTCCATATCCATGGGACGGAGAAGCCCGTGGAGGAGGGCGGTGTGGAGATGACGAACGGGAACGCGCCGCCCAATCTGGGGTTCGGGCATCTGGGATTCACAGTTCCCGATGTGAAGGCTACTATCGAGAGGTTGAGGGCCCAGGGCGTCAAGGTTGTTAAGGAGTTGGGAGTTACGACTAGGGAGAGTATTCCCTTGAGTGACTGGGAGGAAAAGAGGGGTGTGGGGGTTGGCGAGATTCATCCCAATTATAAGGTGTTTTTTGATCAGATTGCTTATGTTGCTGATCCGGTGAGTTTTTTATTTTCTCCTTCTCCTTCTCCTTCTTCGTCATCTTCTTGTTTTCCCTTCTTGGTGTGGGATCTTGGGGATGGTTGGGTTTTTGAGGATAATGGGCTGATTGTGTGTTCAGGATGGGTATATTATTGAGATTCTTCCGCAGAATTGGCAGTGAGTAAGTGAGTGAGGGAGTGTTGATGCTTCTTCAAGGTATTGCATGTAGATATGCGATCCTAGATATATCACGAATATAGCCCCAAGAAATAAAGGAGGACCGAAGAACCTGTCACGTTGATTTGAAACTATGACCTTACAGGCCCAGATGATTGGTCAATGAATATTGGCTCGCTTTTCTTCCTCCAGCTTGCCTCAGCAACTAGCAATAATTTGTCAAACACTCGATGCTCAGACACTTTTGCATACCTGTTCTGAAAATTAGATCATCAGTACCAGGGTTATAGTAGAGCCCATTGCATATATCAAATACAGGTATATGCATCCATAAACTGCAAGGACCTCTAAACCACCTTTGGATACGATCAAGTGGTCTGACAGTTCATCCTGTAGAATATATTCACGCCTCATTCGTGTATATTAATTGAGTATAACTTCGATACTGTTATAGGCGCTTTTGTTTACATGCTAACTAGCTGCCTCTGCCTTGCAGGAGACTCGTCCCTCAGTTAAAATTAGTGGTCAATTGAGTTGTAAACTAGGATGTTATCTATGTTATATATATATATATACATATAGAAGGGAGATATACTACCTCAAAACCAACCTTCACGACATAGTATTATATCTTATTGGAAGAAGTGATTTTGAGATTAAATGTCGGACAAAAGTTTACAAGAAAGTTGGATCTGAGATTAGCGTTGGCAAAACTATCACGAAAAAGGTATATTCGTTTAAACGTTAATCCTCCCTATACGGTCAACGGCATATCCCTTTGAACCTATTGAATACCTGAAACTATGACTACATCTGGCCGTCGTATTAGTGCCAGAGGCTCAGCATCCACAGCCACCTTAGTGATATCTCCACGGGTTCAAATTGAGGTTTGCCGAATACGAGCTTTCCCAACGAGCTTCCCGTGACGTCAAATTTGCCAATGCATATTTCCTTTGCATACACGAAAAAGTTCAACGAACCATGGACAGCTGCAAATCAAGGCCCGGTCCAATGGTTCGGGATCTGACTGGTCCAGCGACCTGCCCTGATTAGGAAAACACTGCCTTGGGTCTGGTGTGCTGTCCCGAACATAAAGTTAAGCAAGCGAATACGACTGGCATAGCCATGTGTCTGGCAACGTAGGGTGCCGTGTTGGGGCAAAGGCAAGATGCTTTATGTTTTATTTTGGATGTTGATTGAAGTTATAAATATGGCATCTGCGTTGCCTTCATGGGAGTGGACTTTCCTAGAACAATTCAGATCTCCTTTCTCTTTACCCAGCAAATTACCAGATTAAATCTGCATCATGAAATCATATATTTGGGCACTGCCCTTTATTCCGCTGGCGTATGCTAATGGCAATTCCTCGTCATGTCGCTGCCAACCGCACCAGAGCTGCTGGCCCTCTGAACAAGAATGGAACTCGCTCAACAGTTCCGTCAATGGAAACCTGGTGGCCGTACGACCTATCGCAGCCGTCTGTCATGAAGGTGACTGGAATAGTTCAGCCTGTAAAGAAGTCACCGCGTCCTGGACAAACTCGACCTGGCGAGCGGCTCGGCCGGGTGCCGTACAGTGGGAGAACTGGGAGTCCTGGCCGGAGCATAATCAGACATGCTATATCGAAAGTCCACGAAGCACACCATGTGGGCAGGGCCAGATCTCCCTCTACTCGACACTTGCCAAATCAGCGTTTGATATCCAGGAGACGGTGAAGTTCGCAAAGCAACACAACCTTCGTCTCGTGGTCAAGAACTCAGGGCATGATTTCCTGGGTCGTGCTTCGGCTCCAGAGTCACTGCAGATCCTTACCAACGGGATGAAAGATATCAAGATTGTGGATAAGTTTACTCCTGCAGGTGCCCCGCAGGGTAAAGGCGAAGGTCCAGCAGTTACGATAGCCGCCGGTGTTAGTCTGCAGGAGTTGTACACTGCTGTCACCGCGAAGAATAGAACAGTTGTTGCTGGGTCTTCTCACACAGTTGGTGCTGCAGGGGGTTATATTCAAGGTGGTGGACATTCTGCCCTGGGACCATGGAAGGGGATGGCTTCGGATAATGCCCTTGAGTTTACCATCGTGACGGCTAATGTAAGTGACAACACATCCTTGCTCAAGATGGTCCATACTGATCATACCACTGCAGGGAGAACTAGTCATAGCAAATGAACACCAGAACGAAGACCTATTCTGGGCTCTCCGAGGCGGAGGCGGAGGTACCTTTGGGGTCGTCGTGAGCGTCACAGTCCGCACATTCGACGACGCTCCCCTCATCCTAGCCAACCTCAACATCACAACTTCAGCGGGGAATCCTCAATACTGGGATGCCGTGACGGCGTTTCACGCATCTCTTCCAAATATAAACGACGCCAAAGGTGCCGGATATTACTGGATTGCTCCAGATACCAAATTAACAGAGAATACCAGCGTCTCGACATTAACCCAGGTTTTCATCTTCCCCAATCGGACAGACACGGCGCAGATTGATCATCTGTATGCCCCGCTTATGTCGAAACTGAACAGTACCACGGGTGTACATACGCAGTACGCTTCCTACCCAATCCCGAACGTCGGCTTCTTCTTTTCCAACATCGTCCTCACCGGCAACTCCGACCAATTAGGTGGCGTGAGCTTATTAGGCTCAAGGCTCTTCTCTAGAGACCTCTTATCATCCAACAATGGCTCCAGAAAGTTAACCTCCGCGCTGCGCTCCATCCGCGTCGGCCCCGGCTCAGCCATCATCGGCCACCTCGTAGCTGGTGGCGCTGTAGCAAATAATGCAGGAAAGGTAGACAGTGCGCTCAACCCTGCATGGAGGAAAGCGATCACTCATATCGTTATCCCCAGTGGCTGGGAGCCGAATGCCACTTTGGCTGAGCAGGAGGCCGTGAAAAAGAACCTTACTGATGTGGAGGTACCAATCCTGAGATCTGTCGAGGGGGCCGATAAGATGGGCGCTTATTTGAATGAGGCGAATGCTTATGAGTCGGAGTTTCAGAGTTCGTTCTGGGGAGAAAATTATCAACGTCTGTTGAAGATCAAGAAGAAATGGGATCCTGAAAGTCTGTTTGTTGTGAGGAGAGGTGTTGGGAGTGAGGAGTGGGATGAATGGGGGCTTTGTCGGGTTGGGAAGTAGATGTCATGTGGTTTTGGTTTTGGTTTTCCTCTTCACAAATATACAAATATGTGTCTCTCTTTCTCTCTGTCTCTCTGTCTCTGTCTGTCTGATATCGAATCTGTCCCGTCAATTGAGCCATTAGAAATGATAATATCGATAGGTATTTTAATACGTTCTGGTTGTACAAACTCCCCTCTATTAGCCGAGCTACAGGAGATATTTATTGTACACCCGTTGCAGTATGATAATATGCGTTACTGCCGAACCCATCAGTCAGGCCCGATTTGCAGTAGCCATACTTAGCTGCTGCCGCTGCCTAATAATTGATTTTTGGAAGCCAAAAACAAACGACAAAAATCCCCGAAAACCGTTGCATAAGGCAAACGGCCATATGGCACTCCCAATCCATGCATGCGCCATGATGATGTCGAAGAATACCCAAACAATGCACTATGCACTATGCATATTTAGGAATCCATTGTGGAAAAAATAGTGGGGGCTAATTAAACATCGCTGAGATGATCATGAATTCGATAAGTCAAAAAGTGTAGGTAGTCAGGATCGAAAAGTAGGGTTACATCCTCAAGAGCCGCCCCGTGGCGTTGAGCGAGTGCTGATGCTGTTTGAGTGACCGGAGGGGTAATTATTTTCATCCTCGCTATCACTGTCCATTTGATCCAACAGACGGTCGATTTCGTCACCGGCCTGAGCTTCTAATCCCACGCCCGAGTCACGATAACCAGTAGGCGGAGCCGTGTTTACAACGATGTGCGTGTCTTGACTCCCAGGTGCGCTGTGTTTAGTCTGTGTAGATGTAATGCTGCTATGTGTATGATTCGGCTGACTCCGGGAGGGCTGTGAGTTGGAGCAATACCCCGAATGTCCCGGACTGGACATAAAGAGTAGCGTCTCTATCGCATCTTGTTCCATGGACGAGTTTTGTGAATGGCTTTGCTGACTGGATAGGCCATTGTAAGGTAATGGACGGAGAGGAGGTGTCTCGGGAACCAGCACCGTTTCTGAGCTAGAGTTTCGCTTTATTGTACTGATACTTTGCTGGGAATGATGTCGTCGATGGCGGGGGTAAGGGAAGTTCTGTGCCTGACTAGAGGGGTCATTTGGGTTCGGGCGTCTGCGACCACTGCTGTCACTTCTTGGAATGATATCTGCAGGCGCTGCGAGTCTCGCAAAACGGGAGAATGAAGAAAGAGGGGTGCGCGATTTTCGTGGGTCACTCTTCAAAGATGGCGCCGAGTCTTCTGATCTGGCTGTTGGGGATGATCGCATAGGATTATTGTGTGAGTAAAGATGGGACTTTGGTAGTGTATCTGGTACAGACAGCGAAGTAATCGCGCCAGGAGAGCTAGGCTCTATCAGTTCTTGACTTTCCCCTCCCCGCCCTATCCGTTCGAACGGGTCGGTAGCGGGAGTTGAGGATGAACGGTCATTATGAAGTAAATCCAACGGTAACTTGTTCTGGGAGCCCTGTGACCGTCGGCTTGCCTCGATTTTAGCCGCAGCGTAAGACAGACGTGTGCGAAGGTGCACAGACAACTGCACTCATATCAGCAATAAAGTTCAGAAAAGACGAGCTACGGAGTCTCGTTACCGCTGCAATTCTATTTCCATGCGTAGCTGAGCTAATGCTTTTAGACCGACGTCTCTCGGAAACGATTGTACTTGAGCTATAAGGTTGATCTTCCACCAATGGTTTGATAAAGCCAGTTGCAGTTCTCTTGTGACCCGCAGCTATCCCAGAAGGGCTTGGGGGTTTTGGAACTGCTGTGGAATCATTGTTGTGCACATTGGTCACAGAGCGTTTGGATTCAGCCTGGTTTCTCTCAGGTCTATCGCCTATGGTTATTTGGGTATATCTAGGTCGCATCTGTGATCTATCTGGGGAAGAGCGAGACCGCGTAGTCGGATATCCTGCACCCGACAATTCTCGGGAATGGGAAACGACATCTATTGGAGAGGTTGGATTGGAAGCTCGGCTAGAAGCCCCATGGAGAGTATATTCTGATGCAGGCTCGACCGCCGTACTCGCAGGAACAGTTGAAGACTGCGACTCTGAAGCATGGTTGCTATGCTGCCCTGAATTGGTCGAATTCAAACGGTCGTTCGTGGGGTGCTTGGTATCACACTGCAGCGAAGAAGACTGCGCATGTTGCACGTGTTGGCGCCCATGTAAATGCGGCAATCCGCTCATCCTGACTGAGGGGCAGCGAATCGCGCAGGGCGCGGCCGTGTAGACTGGGAACCTTGGGGTTCAGTCCACGACGACCGACGAAATACAACTGTAGCAATGTCGACGAATGGAAGGTCTCGCAATTAGACAAAGATACTCAATTGCTTAGCTGTGGCTGGTATCCTCAAACCATAGAGGTGATCTTCAACTCCAAGCGCCGAACAATCTAATCTCCGCCCGGGTCAAGGGTGTTGGCGCGGGAACGTCCAATGCGGAGCTATCAACCCTATTCCTGACACACCATTCACAGAACAATCGTGCTGCGCAAATAGCCTCAATTGGGATTAAATTCCGCACTCCGCTTGGCTGCAAGGGATGTCTATTTAGAGTCCCGTCTTTGAACGCAAGGAGTGACTTGTAGCAGAGGACTAACCGGGACAAGTACGTTTCGTCCCCACACGTAACTTAGATCCGACACTTGGTCGATTGAAGTGAGGAGACACGGGTGGGGATTGGAGTTGAAGCCAGAAAGACATGGAGCATACCTGCTGGATGATCTTCGGGCTGTCAAGTTCAAGTAGTATTTGTTTAACCTTCGAGTGGCCAACTCTATTCCAGTCGACGCGTTCCGCGGCGCGGTCACGTGGATGTTCCGCCCAGGCAGGTCAAGTAGTATAGTAGTAGGATTGTATCAACCGCCGCACGTGAAGAAGAAGCAACATGACAGCGGAAGGATCGGCTCCAGAAGAGGCAACTCATCAACACCTCAGTAACACTAAAAAGGACACCAACCCTGAAGAATAAAGGACATATTCTATTCCTTGGTATATATCGTTAGATATAATTAAACGCCATCCACCATGCAGTATATCAATAGATACATATGGGCATTATGCCAGAAAACGAACTTTTACCAACCAATATACATGCAACGATAAAAAACTGCCAAGATGTTCAAGATCACTTGCGCTTCTTGCCTCCACCTCCTCCATCCTCGTCTGTGTTCTTTCGTTTCTTGCCCTCTCGCCGCCAGTAATCGTCACGCTCCCGTTTCTCCCGGGCTTCCTTCTTCTCCAAACTGTCGGCGACCTTGGCGCGGTAGACTTGTCTCCGCTCTTCCTGCTTCGCTGCGCGTCGAGCTTGCTTGTCGTTCCGCATGGTGGTCAGCTTTTGCATAAGATCTCGTGCCTTCTTCTCCTCTCCTCCAAGGACAACAGCCCGCTTTTGCATATAGGTCTGGTCCTTGCGCGATTTCATCTTGGTGATCTGGGATTTGAATGGAAGGTCTTTAGCCAACTGCCGTGGGACGCGGAGGGGATTGAAGTGACGCTCCTGTCGTTCAATGGGACGATAGGCAGAGTCCTTCTGCAGGGGCGTTGGGATGCCCTTCTCACGGCGGACTTCACCGGTGAGACGCATTCCCTGCCACCCACTATCGCCTGCACTGTTTTCTTCCAGGTCAAGCAAGTTTGTTACCGGGTTGTAGAATCGATGCGGTTTGATGGGATACCACGCGCGTAGGAAGACAATGTCGCTCATAAGAATCTTATCTTCAAATGTCGCACGGAAGCAACCTTCGGGCTTGCTCAAAGCTCGCTTGACTTGTCCTCGGATGCCAGATACGGTTCGAATCGCAGTGCCCTCAAACTTGGCAATCTCAAGGGAAGAGTTGAACATATCCTTGATGAAGGCAGTGTTCTTGAAGATCTTGTAAGGTGTACCAGTCAGCTTGAGCTTCTTCACAATATCCGTATGTTCATCCACGCTCAGCACTACTCCGGTTGCTGCAATTCGGAAACCTGGGGCCTTGTTGGAGAAAGATTGCACGCAACAGAAACCGGTGTTTGGTGCAACGAGTGGCCCATAGAAGGTGCCAAAGCAGTGCATGTGTTCTGGCGTGTATTTAAGCATTCGGTTACGCGTCCGGTTGTCAGAAGTGCTGTACATTGGTAGGGTCTGGAAGCGACGCCATCCGAGAGAGAAGATCAAGGGATCGTTGCTCTTCAAGATCTTCTTGTGCCAACGGTGTCTTTTAATCCGAATTTGCACGTATCCAAATCGGTCTTCAGTGGGTGCGAGTCCACCGACGATGACAGGGAAGCGAGGATCGAATTTCGTGGCAAATTCGCAAGGTACATTTTCCAGAACGATACGGGCATAGGTTCCGGCCTTGAAACCTTCAGCTCTAGCTCTTGAGGCTGGGTCCAAAGTATCAAATTCGGCCCGGTTGATGTCTAGCTGCTTCTGCAGCTTCGCCTTCTGTGCATCGTACCATTCATCTTCACCGAACTCTTCATCGCCTCCACCGTCTTGTCGTGAGTTATCCTTGGAGTTGGCGAACCCCTCACGGTCTTCCTCTTCAAAGCGCAACCTCAGCTCTTCCTTCTTCTTGGCGTTTCGTTCGCGCTCTGCCTCGAGGTCCACGGATCCCTCATCGCCTGAACCCTCTTCCTGCTCCTCTTTCTCATCCGAGATACCATTGAACACCTCGCCAGTCTCCAGGTCCTCGAAGTCTCCATCACCTTCATCATCTTCATCGAAGGCATCATCAACATCTGAATCATCGTCATCCCCATTGCCGGATAATCTAGCAGTGGCGAATCGGCTCCGTAGAGATTCAATCATCTCTTCATCCCGCCATTTCCGCTCTAACTCTTCATAGTCGAACTCGGGGATGGCACGGTATTCCGATTGCTCTTCCTTTTCGTTGTTGGTCTTCTTGAAGAAGTCGTCGGCATCTTCTTCGTTCTCCTCGTCGGCATCCTCCTCTTCATCTTTGCCGGACCATCTCCGAATCACGTCAAGAGGAGTGATAGATTCATCGTACATCATGCGAGACAGGTCAGCGACACGATATTTCGGTCTTTTGGCATGGAGCGCTTTAGCGTTGTCAAGCATTCTCTCTTTCCACCTAACAGTGCCATCCTCATCCACATCGTCTTCATCAAGATCTTCTTCGTCATCACTTTCCAATACCTGGTCTTCAACAGACGAAATGGATCCGAGATCAGAATCACTGTCGGCGAATGCGATGTCACCTTCATCATGGCGGCTTTTGCCCTCCTGTTTCTCTCTAAAGGTTGCTTCGAAGTCAGCAGGTGCGGACACGTCAATGTTTTCTTCGTCACTGTCGCCTTCCAGTTCCTCCTCGTCATCCTCGGCGCTCTCGAAACCCTCATCCTCCTCTGCATGACCTCCTTCTCCATCCATAAACCTCGCATGCCTCCTGTGTTTCCTTCCTGCGCCCTCATCCTCATCGTCGGCCTTCTCTATGGCCTCACCGCCTCGGAACAGACGGACACCTCCATCAGCTTCACCGAGGAGTTTGCGTTCACCCTGAAGACCAACAACGAGCTGTTCACCCAAGCCACGATCTTCATCTTCCGACTCGTCATCTCCTTTGTTGAAATTGGACGTCTTGACATCAATATACACAGCGTCTTTATCGACCAACACACCACCAACGTCAGACATAGGAGCGAAGAGTAACTTTTGCTTCTCTCCCAGCCTGCGTTTGCTTGCCTTGCCGGAGGCTTTCGCCATTTGTTGATCCATAAAGGGTGTGGGGCATGGGTCTGGAAGTGACTCAATGCCGGAGACAGTTAAATCACCCACTCCAGGTACATGGACTCGCGTTCCCTGAGCTGAAAAGTTTGTGCCTCGTAGATAACCGTAGAGAGCCACTGTCCGGTCGCACTTCGGATTCTCTTCGATCTGAGTGGGCGGCGTAATATCCAGAAAGCGATCTGCAAGCGCATAAGGGTGTGAATTGCGCCACACTAACGGTCTAGGGTTCTTCATAACCGACAGGAAACGAGAGAGGTTGTGTATTTCGCGATCGGGATACCGGCCGTTGACGACACCAGAAAGATAGAAAAGCTTAGCACCGTTGTAAAGCTCGCTCCAGAAGCGATGCTTCAAGCGCTTCTTCGCCATTCTAAGGGTGCTCTGTTTCTTGAAAAGGTCCAGGTGGGTTAAGATACCGAACACATTTCCTGGCATACCACTGGAAGACAAGACGTTCAGGAACTCCATAGTCTCCATCTCGAATCCATAGTTGCCGTCAATCATCAGAAGCACAATATCGGCAATTTTCGCGACATCGATCATACTGGCAAGGGAGTCGGAGGGGGATTCCAGGAAAGTGAGCCGGCGCCGCTTAGATGTCACCACAGTCAAGGGTCCTTTGGGGGTGCTGAGGGTCTGTTTCGTGTAGCGACGGATCAAGGACTTAAGAAGAGTCGTTTTTCCAACCTAGTCGAACCGGATGTTGTTAGGCACTTTTCATCCTCCGCATCTCCATGTAGAAAACTTACACCCGGCGGTCCAACAATTGCAACGACCAGGGGAGGTGCCTCTTCAGGCACACGATCCACCAGCGGTACATGCAGCCTCTTTTCTTTAATCTACATCGAGGGTCATTAGTTCCTGGAACTGTCGAGAATCGGCATTTAGATCATACATCATGCGACCGCGCGCCAGCTTTATTTCCCTTCCCAGGGTTCGAAAACGCGAAGGCTTTTGGATTGGGGCCTAGAATCGCGATCTCTGCATCAGTAAATGTATACCACCGGGGGGAAATCAAAATGCATAGACTATCGCAATCAAATCCGATACAGAGTACATACCATCATGTTTCTTTTTCTCCTTCGAGGGTCGATGGACCCTGTTCGACTGGTTCTCCATTGTCGAAAAACAAGGTCAGCGACCTCTGAGAAAAATACCTTTTTCCCTTTGGACGACAGAACTCGGAGCAGAGTTGAACAATCCGTGAGCTGCTTCAGGTAGCTTGGTCCAAAATTATTATTTCCATTTTCTTTCCTCGGGACGGAATTTTGCAAGCGCCGACATCTTCCCGCTAGGAAAGTAAAAGTTTCTTAATGTCGACACCTTACTGCCTGAGGTATGAAGTTTCTGATAAGAAATTATTACAGTTTCTCTGCACGTGCACGTGCACTCCGGGCCGGGGGACGTGAAAGGGCCCACCTTATCGGTCCGATAGATAAGAACTAGTATAAAAGAGGGCGAGGAATGTTGGAGGCAGCTTTATGAAAACTTCATGATTCCTTCTTTACCATGTAAAGTATTACTATTGTATGGACATATAACAAGTGATTATTAGCAATGAGTGTATCGATAGACACCCTGAGACCAAATACTGATTGATCAAGAACTTTCAAATGACTAGAGAAAACCTACTATGATCAAGAACTCCAGTCGTTTGTTGGATATCTTGTGGCATAATACCAGACCGACTTCCGATCGGCTCGTTTGCTGAGTACTAAACTGCTGATAAGCCGTCAATCCTATCGTGGTATAGCTACACCTATATGTGGACAGCAACGCTGCGAAGCATTGTAGATGCTACAAGACCATATTGTATCGGTTCTGTTAAGCTTACGTAGATCGAGCATCAACTCCATTCCATGAATCGGACCCTATATTTCCTTCATAAAGTATGGCGTAGTTCTTGGATCATAGACCGCGAATTCATTTCCAGATCTCTAGTTTGAAAGACCAGCCAGGCTACAGCTACGGTGTCTCCGTGATA